TGTCGATGTGTGGCTCCAGAGGTCGGCTCTCCGGCACCTGTCCTATCACTCGCAGGTATTCATGAAACCCAATCACGAGGCGCTGCATGTGATGAACCATTTCTACGATTACCCCAAAGCCATTGATATGAATGCCGGCAACAAAGGTATTATCTATTGTCTGGTATTGTCTCTCTTGATGTCTAATCTCTGGACTCAATTGTCGGGAAACAGAGATAACTAAGGAGAGCGTTGAAGAGCTGTACGCGAGGATCAAAGCCAAACACAGCGAGACTAAGGATCAGCTCCAGACGTATGACGTTCAGCACCGGTTCCTCTATCCAACACTTAGACCCTATCAGTGCGAAGCCGTGAGTATTTGGCCTCCATTTGACGGATCAGTTGATATTTACCGCCATTTTTAAGGTTCAATGGATGCTAAATCGGGAACACATCGAAACGATTGGATCGCATCAGCATTTATACGAAACTGTGGTCACAATAGACGGCACATGCCTTGAATACAACCGATATATGGGTTACTTTATTTCGGGCAAAAGTGAGGCCCGAAATTACATTTACGGCGTCTCGCAGTCGGGAATACTAGCCGATGAGATGGGTTTGGGAAAGACTATAGAAGTGCTGTCATGTATACTAAGCAATCCCAGGCCACAGGCGTCGGGTGACCAGTCGTCGACCGACTCTTACCACGAATACAACGCACCCGAACTCATCGACTGGGACTCCAACGGCCAGACAGAGGGTTAGTATTGAATAAATGCTAAATTTTCTGTTAATCCGATATTTAATTAACCATTTTTTGCGGTAAATTATTTTTCTATAGAGTGTTTTGCGTGCGTTTGCGGTCTTATATCAAACATAAGAGCGTATCGGCGCCGCAAACTTATTATCTTCGACACCATCACTGATGAGGGAACCGATCACTTCCAGTGCGACGCTCACAAGAGAGATGACTACAACAGCGATGATAACGATGGTAACAATGATGACAACAGCGATACAGAAGTTGACGAAGAGTTTACCGACGAATGGAAGAACAACTTTTTGGCCGTAGAGGACATCCGCCGATACCGGCGGCGCTCAAAGAAGTTGGCGAAGAAGTTGGCCGAAAAAATGCTGGTCCGGTGCCGCGGGTGCGGCTCATATCAACACGCGGTGTGCGTCAACTATAAGGTGGAGACCCGGCGGCCGTACTATTGCGGCCACTGTTGGGCGCGACCGACGATGAAACGGGTGGACTCGAGGGCCACTTTGATTGTCAGCCCGCGCTCTATTAGCCATCAATGGCAGGACGAGATCACCAAACATGTCGACTGCACTGATCTCAACGTTTATGTCTACGAAGGCGTCAAGTCTGCGGAAGGTTTGCCATTGTTTTGTTTACGACACTCACCACCACTGGAACTGTTGCTTAACAACGTGTTTGTATCCCAACGTGTTCTGCAGGTTATGTCCAGCCGTTTGATTTGGCCGACAATGACATAGTGCTGACCACATACGAGACGCTGCGGTCGGAGATTGATTTTGTCGATTTGCATCACTCGAATCGGTTCCGTAACCCGAAACGATTCAACGCCACGCCATCGCCGCTGCTGTCGATCAATTGGTGGCGCGTGTGTCTGGACGAGGCCCAGATGGTGGAGTCGGCGTCGGCTAAGACAGCGCAGATGGCCCACAGGCTCTGGGGTCAGCACCGGTGGGCCATCACCGGCACACCCGTCCAGCGCTCTGTCGACGACCTCTACGGCTTGTTACTCTTCATTGGCGAAGAGCCCTTCCATGAGCGACACTATTGGGACAAAATGCTGTATTACCCGTACGCTAGCGGTCAGTGTCTCTTCGGTGGTAGCATTCTTTTGAGCGACTAATTGATAACTTATGCATCAATTCGTTAGGCAATTACCAGCCAATGGTGGAGGCGTTGAGAAAATGCTTTTGGCGCACATCCAAACAGGAAGTGTGGGATCAGTTGGGAATACCGGCCCAGACGTCGACGATCGCGAGGCTACAGTTCTCGCCGGTGGAGCAACACTTCTACTCCAGACAGCACTCGGAGTGTAAGCAAAAGTTTACCGAAAAAATGGTCCGCTTTTCCAATTTGGACGTAAAGCTGAAAGAGTTGGACAAAAAGACGGCCAATATTGTGATGAAACCGATGCTCAGTCTTCGACAGGTATACCGAGAATTCACTCACGAGTTGTTGATTATCTGTTTTTTGGGATCTAATTATTGTTACGTTTGTCGTACGCGAAGGCTTGTTGTCACCCGCAGGCGGTTCGGGGAAAGTTTGTGCCCATCTCTAAGAAGACGCTAACCATGGATGAGCTGCTGAAGGATATGATCAAAAATACCCAATACGAGTGCGAAGAGGAGCACCGGAAGATCATCTCTTCTGTCAACGGAATGGCCGGCATTCATATCATTGAAGTAATGGTTAATTCAATTGTGTTTATAATTCAATTTTTTTATTGATTATATTTTTGTTGCGAAATCTAACAGAAAGACTACGAGAAGGCCATCGAGTTCTATAGGCGGGCATTGAATTCAATTGAATCATACAAAGCCAAAGACCTGTTCCGTACGGACAAACTACAGCTGATCCATACGTTGCATAATTTGGCCGAAATCATGGAGTTGTGTGGCGTTCGCCAGAAGGACAAGCATTCCGATGAATACTATAATAAGGAGAATGAGAATCAAGTAATTGATTGATTGTGTTGTTTGTCTCATGTCTTGGGTTTTGATTAATTTTTGTTGCCCACAGCCGAAGAGAACTGAGATAACGCTGAGCGTAGACTTTGGTCGTACTCTGCGGGACGAGTACCTAAACTACGAGTCCATACAATTGCATGACGAGTATTTGGCCAAAGGGACCGCCGGTGTGGCCGAAGTGACCGCACAGTTGACACCGTTGGAGGAGACTGTGGAACAGTTAGAAGACGTACGCCATTATCCAATTATATGACAACTCGTGATAATTTACTGATGATTGTGACCATTATATCCCAAACAGTCATTCCAATCGTTGAAACAAAACCCGTGGTGGAAGTCAGCCATCGATTATCTGCGCGCTATAGACGAAGAGCAGGCGCTGATCGGACGGGTGAAGGACGTACTCGAGGCGCACGACTTGCACGGAATGGTCGCCAAAGGGGGAGGCGTTAAGACATCACAGTTCGTGTCTATATCGGAGAAGTTCGCCGAAGGGTCGGGTCTGAAGTACGTGTTGGACAAGTGTCTGCGCGAATTGCATCACTCGCGTAGTGTTGTCCGCCAGCGGGTGAAGAGTTTGCGGGCGAAACCCACGGATACGGAGCTGAACCAAGCGATCGACTGTCACCTGAGGCCCGAAAAGGACAAAGAGGGCAATCGGGCGCAGAGTGTTGTCAAATGTAAATACTGTTTAATACACGAGTTGTTCAACGATTACGAGAAGAAATTGTATTACTTTAGCGTCGATGAGAAGACAGAAGAGGCCGGATGTAAGTCCGCGGCGCTCATGGAAAAGGTATGTACCGTCGAAGCGGTAATCGATATCTTATTAATTGTCTAATTAATTAATTGATCCCTTCAGTTACGTCACGGCACGTGGGCTGACAGCGAGACCGAACAGTGTCTGAAAGAGATCAACAAACTGTTCCGTTTGAAAACGGATTCCGGAGACAATCGTCACGCCGTTATCCGAGATGACGGCCAAAATCACCTCAAACTGTTCGACGCTCTGAAGAAGGAGTTTCGCGGTCTGCGGGCCGTATGGATAGAGATCTACGACTACGTGGCGCTCATCGATGAGCTAAATATGGCCACAATTCGGCTTCGGGTGCGCTTTCCGGACGAACCCAAACCCAAAGAGACCATCACTTATATTCTGGAGCCGTCGGAAGTGCCGACTCAGATGCTGTCATTGCATTCGGACGAAGTGGTGGCCAAGAATGCACTTCAGTATCGTTTGTCGCGTTTGTATTATTTGAATAATCTGTCGAAAGATGATTCCAAACGCAAAGGCGGCCACAATCCCGACATGTGTCCGATATGTCACTTCGAAATGGGCGAACAGTGGTCTGTTATGCAGTGCGGCCACAGTCTGTGCGTCAAATGTCTGGACATAATGCTGGCCGAGTACTCGCGCCGGACGGGCGCCGGTCTTAGCATACAGTGCGCGATGTGTCGCGAATACTGTCCGGCGTCGGCCGTACTGTACGTGAACTCGACTGCCGGCGACAAAGAGGCCGATCAGCTGGAAGTGGCCGGCAGTTGGTCCACGAAAGTGGAGGAAGTGGTCCGATGTTTGCTACAGATAGTGGCCGACGAGCCGACGGCCAAATCGCTGGTGTTCAGCACCTGGACGGACGTACTTCAGCTCATATCCAACGCGTTGGTCGACAATCAATTCAATCACTGTTTTATTGCCAATTCATCTAAATTTAGCCAAAAAGTGGACACATTTAAGCAAAACCCGGAGATTAAGGCACTGCTGATGGCCATTGATTTGGGCGCCAAAGGGCTGAACCTAATAGAGGCCACGCATGTGATACTCGTCGAGCCGACGCTCAATAAGGCCAACGAACTGCAGGCCGTCGGACGCGTCCACCGAATCGGACAAACAAAGTATGCAATTATTTGATTCGTTAAGACTTTTGGGTTTGAATTAATTGTTTGTTTTTTATGATATTTTAGACCGACTTTTGTTCACCGCTTTATCGTGAAGAACACCATCGAAGAGAGAATCTCCAGTTTGTATTCAATCGACGGCCAGACCGAGGGCTCGGCCGACGGCCCACTTTCGCCCCAATTGTTGCAAACCTCTGAACACGCGTTCATTACATTGAATCAAATGAAACGTCTGTTTGACGGCAATTAGCGATATATTTAATCGCGAAAAACTGACTAAAAATATCATTGATTACGAGTTTAGACATTAAGTTTTTCATTAATTTCAGACAAACACTTATTTCGAGTGTTTTAAATCAAATTTTAGTTATAATTATTTAATTACAAGTTTAAAACTTTGTATTTTTCAATTAAATGTCTCAATAATTAAATCATTGACTTTTGTTAACATATTTTTAATTTACTCTTAATTTTTATTAATTATATTTTCAATTGTAATACTTTTAATGATATAATTTATTTAATTAACAAAAACAACGTTTATATTTACAAACCAATGGTATTGTTATTCAACTCAAACACCACCACCGCTCTGATGGCCCGTCCGGTGGTCATCAACTCTATGCCTTCATTCACGTCATCCAAACATATCCTATGAGTGATGAACGGCTTTAAGTCAATCTCACCCCTCATATGCCTGTCCACCAGTTCTTTAGTGCCGGCGATCGGTTTATAGCCGCCGAGAAAACCGCCCATTAGTTTCTGGCCCGTCAACAGACCCCACGGATTGATGGCCAACTCCTGGCCGTGCGGTGACAGTCCTATCGTAACGCAAACGCCCCACCGGTTCAGCGACTCGAACGCCGAGCGCACGGCCTTCACATTCCCGATGCACTCAAACGTGTAGTCAAGTCCGCCCTCGGCTTTGAACAGGTCTTCGACAGCGGCGTAACCGTTGGGCAAACGGTTTGGGTTCACGAACTCAGTGCAGCCAAACTTGCGGCCCAACGGGAACTTGTCTTCGTTGATGTCCACACCGATGATACGTTTGGCGCCGCTGTGTTTGGCGCCCATAGCGGTGGCCAACCCGACAGCGCCCAACCCCCACACGGCGACACTCGACCCGACGCTCACTTTGGCCAGATTGACAGCGTTGCCAAAACCCGTGGCCACACAACACCCGATGAGACACAGGTCGGCCAAATCGGGCCTCTTGTCCACCACAGCGACCGACTCGACAGACATAACTGTATATTCGCTAAGAGTGGCGCAACCGATGGACTTGTATATGGGTTTGCCGTCGAGTGTCCAGAATCGGGTCGTCCCGTCGGGCATCACATTCAATGTGCCCTTATTTCCTGTGAAAAAACGGCATTCAATACATGCGTTGATTATTAAGTAAATTTTGTAATT